TATATATATATATATATATATGTCTACTGATTGCTAACACTTTATAAAAGTCTCAGGCTTTCTCTGACTCCCCCTCTCAATCTGACTTTATTGCCTTCATTATACTGCAATTAATAAGTGCTCTTGCCTTTTCAGGTTTGTGTTTGATCTCTCCCATGTCTCATGCCTTTGCATCTCCTATACCTTTTGTTTTTGTCTTTGTTGTTGTAGAGCCCTGCCTCCTATTTCCTACTCCTCAGCTGTCTTACTTTCTGTTATACCTCAGGCATATATTTCCACTTTAATAAATTGACAAAAATAGGTCAACTAGTAAAATACATTGTATTTGCCTTCCCTCTCATTTTCTGTTATCACATGCTGTTCCCAGTTTTACTTGATGCCAGAGTACTCCTCCACCTCCAATTTGCGCCCCTTTGTAACACTATGCTTTCATCTCAGATGGTTACACATTCAATCTCAGTGCTCTCTTGCTCATAGATGCCTTCAGACCAACATCCTACACTTTGAGGCTTCACTCCATGTGCTAAAGGCAGCATTGCCACTTTAGAAGACTGCAGGAGATTTACTGAACTTTCCCAAGTTTGGTTTGACACCTTCTTTCACTTGTGTCCAGATAAAGAAATGTTTAGCTCACCCATACCCTGCAGTGTGCCTTAACATTGCTCGTAAAAAATACACCTTCACGTGTAATTGTGCTGAAAATATTTTTCCAAACTTCTTTGAAATTGTTGTATTGAAAATTCTTTATATTTAATCATATTATTCATATTTGACTGAGCACAGCAGGATCCCAGCTGTGTGGGGATTGTGTGTTTCTCTTTCTGTTTTAACAGGAACAAATATGGATTGATAAAAATTATAAATCATCTGATTCTACAAGTAGAGATGGAATTATTTGCATTTTATTTGATTAATTAATTTCCCCTGGCATTTGTTGTGTATATTTTCCAGGATGGTTGAATACTCTCTGGATTTGCAGAACATCAACTTTACAGCCATCAGAACTGTGAGGGTGCTGCGGCCTCTCAAGGCGATTAACAGGGTGCCAAGTAAGTTACATAATCCTTCCAGACTCAACTTTTGATTATATGTAGCAAAAATATTCTAAGAATTTGGTGATGTTCATCATAGCCTCTTCCCATTTTGATCATTTGGAGTTTGTTTGTTTTGTACTTTTTGTTTGGTATTTGTTTGTTCGTTTTGTTTCTCCGTTGCACAAAGGAGGAACCGCCCCAAAATCTTTAAAAAGAAAGTTTGTAGAGCTAATTGGGAAATATAGCTTTTTGCTGCTTTTAAAACCAACAATGTATTTTTAATGCACCACTCATAGAATTCTGTATGACTAATTATAATACTTTTATTAATATTTATTTTTATTTTAGAAAGTTTACTCAAATTATATTTCTTGTGGTCTTTTAATGGTTTCTTATCCTCGTGGTTAATGGCAAACAGATTCAAATTCTAAACAGGGCTAAAATAAAGGGAGTGTATTTTAAAAATGTACCTCCAAAAAAAGAGAAAAAAAGTTAAATTTTGAACTACATTTGTTCATAAAATTAAAGAAAATGTTATTTATGTTATAATGCACATTTCATACTGCAGAGTAGTATTGATACCTTCTTTATTTAGATGATAAGATTAATAAATGTGTCACTAAAATGCTAAAAAGGCATTTAGAAAATACATTATTAAAGAAAATTATTACATTATAATCTATGGCTTCTGTCCAACTACATTTAAGATAGTTAGTGAAATCAGTTAATCAAATGACATTGTTTTCTTTAACCATAATGGTAAGATTCTTTAATAAACAAGAAATGGAACAAAAATCCCATATAAATAAATAGTTCATTTAACAAAATTCAACCTGTCTTTTATGTTATCAGGACCAAGTTTGTTGAGTCTCATAACAAGCAACAGCTACAAAGATGTATGTTCTAGACAAACTATTGTTTCTGATAAGTGAAGAATATAGTAACTTGTTCTATTGTTGTTAAAAATACTGCAAGGTAACTTTTGAAACATGTTACACACTTAAAAATTTGTTTTTTAAATTGTCTTTTGGCAGTTTCCTTTTTTATAAACCAGCGATTAAAGAGTTTGATATAAGCAAAACAGGCTCAACTGACATTGTGTTACATCATTACTAATGCTGGAGAGAATCCTACAAAACCCATCCTGAAAGGCATTGCTGTCTTGACTGTAATTTAGTTTTTTATATGATTGAATGTTGTGTTTATGAACTATAATCTGAGATTTTACACAAAGCATAAAACTAAATCAAGGAGAAAAAAGCTTGTTAAACTTTGAGATCACATCTAACTTTGTCACTGTTAACGATTCTATGTTACAGAGCTGTTTTAGTCTGTCTTAGAACACTTATTGCAGAGAAATAATCACATCTTAAAAATGCAATTAAAGTTTGAAAGCCATAAAAAATTACCATTGACAGAAAATATCATGCAATTATTAGAAGTGCTTTGGTTCTTTTAAAAGTTGATATTTCAATTCCACAGGTGCTGTTATGTGTGTCTGCTTTAGTTCTTTTTTTATGATTGCTGTATTTTCTCTATGTTAATGTGACTAAATTGTGCTTAGCAGGCAATCATTCTAAGAGGCTATGAGAACTCTCTAAGTTGAATATACTGGTGCTTATAGTTCATGTTTTGCATCCCCTGTAATTACTTGCTGTTCACCAACCTGTGCTCAGAAATCTACAGAAGAAATAAAGCTTTTTGATGTTTTACTTCCATAAAAATAAGTGATGACTGTAAGTTTAGTGAAATAGAGACTGGTATTTGTATGTGTTCCAAATCATGCTGTTTGTGACTTAGTAGTAGTTTCTTTTACTAAATTGTTTTCTTTTCATGACATTCTATGTATCTTTTTGTATTAAGAAATTTCTTATTTTCATCAACATATATCAACATTTAGCATAACATTGTTACTTCCCTCCTAACAGGGTAATGGTTCACTAGAAATTATGTTTATAAGCCAATTACATTTGTATGATTATCAAGCATGCAATGGTGAAGCCAGCCCAAAGTCAGAAGATGTTTTAATGAGACTTGGTCCTTTGGCTTACAATGTTTAAAAACAACAACCCATAAGTGTTTTAGCCCACCAGTCGAATACTTGTTATACTATCCAGCTCTTCCTTAAAATAAATAGTAAAATTGCAAATGTAACTAAAACAAACTGCATTCATGCAGGAAATACAGCACATTATTAATAAACAGAAACCTGACGTCCATTTCTAATGTTTGGCCTATGACTGGCCTACAGAATATTTCCCTTGAGTATTTTCTTGCATTTTGTCTATGTTTAAAGTCATTTGGGAAATATGTTAATCTGGTGTCCTAAACCATGTTTGTTTGAATAGGAGATGATCAGTGTTATGCTCTTCATGTCACCTCTCTTGCGACCTAATGTTATGCATGATCACTTGCACAAGAAAAGCTCTCTAATAGTAACGCATTACACTTCTTCCTCATTTGAGATTTGCTTCATTCCTCTTCTCCTCCTTCCCACAACACAGATACAGTTGCCCCTTTATTCCTCTCAGAATAATTCGTTCCATGGAAAGAAGAAAAAAAATTTAAACTACACTAATGATCCTGCACTTTGAAATATGTATTCTGGAGTCAAGAAGCCTGCGTTCAACAGAGGAGAGGGCATAATGACAACCTGATATACTCATGTGATATTTATGTTTTCTCATTACGTGTCTTGATGGAAACATGTTTAAATAGGCTTGGCTTTAGGCCAGATTACAGGTTTTATGTTCACATTAAAGGAATGAGAGAATGGCATAGTCTATACTGTGTATATATATATATATATATATATATATATATATATATATATATGCAAGAAGTGAATAAGCAATTATTGTTAATCAGAGGTATGAGGTTACTTTTGGCCTTATTTCAATAAGAACACAGAATTCAGGTTATTGAAACCTTTGCACAAAGGAAAAATTGGAAGGTTGAGAGTGACGACAAGTCAGCAAGAAAGATAAATGGGGTTGGGAAGATGGGATTATCAAGCTCCATGAAGGATAGGTGAAGATGAAGGAAAGGTTGGGGAAGATGATGAGAGGAGAGATGCAGGGGAACCCTCGTGAACAGCCCATTACAATGATAGATAGGAGCAAGGAAGTGCAAGGAATGGATAGAGTCATCTGTTGAATAGAGATAAAGAAAGCAAGGGACAAAGAGGACAAAGAAAGGGTATGAGAGGAATGATAAAGTGATTATGGATGATAGATATTACATGATAACAACATTACCTGTTTTTATTACAAGGGGATTTGTAAGCAGTCGTGTTACAATGTGTAGTCACAAGGCAACATTGTAACTCAACATAACGAACCTATATGCAGAGTAATTTTTGTAATTTATTTAAAATGTTGAGAGTTTTTCTTTGTGACCTTGAATCAATAGAGACAAAGCACACTTTGAAATTCTAATGCTATGTTCAGACCACCCGTGCTAGAGGAAGCAGAAGCAGCTAGTTTACTGTACATGCACAGTCAATGGTCGACGCTAATCAAGGCGCAGTAAAAGGTCCTGCTGTGCTTTTTGAGCAGAAGGAGCAGCGCGTTTTAGCATCTGATGCACGGTACGCGCTGCAAAAGCAGCAGCTGCTGGAGTTGGAAAAATTGAATGTTTAGCTGCTTGAAACGCCACAACCACCAATCGAAGAAGCTGATCTGGGAGCTGGCAGGGAGACAGACACAGCACTGCTGATGCAGATTGCTATGATCACTCCTCTGAAACAGTTTATTAACGCCTATTTTAACTGAAAATATCGAAACATGCCGGCAAAATATGTTCGATTATTTTGGTGCCTGCAGTTTGGTTTATGTACATAAACAACACCTTATATACATAAACTGCAAAAAGGCGACGGTGCCAGAGGCTGCCGTTGAACGAGATTACCAAGGACAGAGCAACGCCAGTGTATGGGGGTCTGAGCGGCTCCTACAGCGAAAAAATGAAATAATATTTGAAGGCAGGATCATAATCTTGATGAACTGACTGCACAGATGAAATTTTCAGGTGGACTTTCTCACTTAAAAACAAAATAAAACTACTTTTTACCAACTGATCACAGCAAATATAGAGAAAGCCACTCTGCCATTGAACACAGGAGCAGCAGAAGCATCAGATGCATCTGAACACATTTTATTGAAAGCGCTTCAGGAGCGTCAAAGATGCTCTTGATGACCGTCTGACCTTAATGTGAACAAGCATAAAAAATGAAGCAGCAGAAGCTTTTGTTGCTCCTTCCAGCACTTGCAGTCTGAACGTAGCATAAACCATCTTTAGGTTAAAATAAATTTTTATTTTTTGCAGTTATTTTAAAATATTAAGTAAAAAAAGAAAAAACAAGGATATCAAAGCACTTTAGCTTAACAACACCTTGCAATCAAAACTCATAAAATCAATTACTGAGAAAAGAAATTATACAAAAATAATGCTTTCCTCCTTTTGATCATGATTTTGAGGATGGCCAGGTTTAAGATTTAAGAAGTTCTATTAATTTAAAAGTTTAGATTAACATTGAATCTATTATTATTTATTTGTTTTGGTTTCTTTTTTAAAATAGAATAAGAAAGTACAAGATTAAACTAGGTTTTAAATGCCTTCCATGTTAACTAAGAGGATTTCTATTTTACTATTAGCAAATTACATACATTTTAGATGAAACTAAAAAGCTGGTGTCTCTTGAGATGATCCTTTTTTCATGAGATTATTTTTTCTCTCACTTTAAATGAGAATTAAATCTCAGCAGAATTAAAGGTGCTGTATTTGGTTCTGCTTTCCCTCGGGAATTTCCCAGTTCCAGTTTCACAAATTCTAATTTAATGTAGGTATTACACATGTAATTGTAAATCTAATAAATGCTTTCTGAATAAGTAAGTTAGATATTTATTCACAAACCAGTCTGTCTCTCATCAACCAAATGACACCCATCGTACAATATAATCTGTTGGACTGTTATCTGTTTGTTTGAATGCATAGAGTTAGGATGATTTTTTTCT